GGCACTATGAATATGAGTTTCTCGTAGGCAAAGATTCTGTTTATTTCTGAGTCCCCAGCACAGAGAATGTTCTGGCACATGTGAAATGCTTAGCAGATATTCATGGAATATGGGATGATTGCATTTGAATGACAGCTGTCTTTAAAAAGAAGAAATTTTAGAGTTTTCTAAGTCATATTTCATAATAATAAGCACAATCACAGGCAGGACCTTTGCCCAGCATATTTTTAGAGTATTTTATGTGGAAAAAAAAGCTTGAAATGACTTTCTTTTATCTTTTCGTCACTCACGAGGGCAGAGGCATCACCATTTTTTTGCTCCTCTTAAAGTCAGTCTTGGAGCTTCCTGGCCACTTTGTTTGCCCATGTATAGTGCATGGGCACTCAGACTTTTGGGTCTGTTGCTTGTCCTAAAGCGCTTTTGCCAATCATAACATGAAGTTGATACACAGATCTCCATGCAGCATGAGAAATGTTTGCTAAAGGTCACTAAAGCTATGGAGATTGTGGTTCTAAATATTATTATTATACTTTACCGGCATTTTTGGTGAGACAATATAACATTAACTCACCCCTGCTACTCACATTAAATTTCAAGCAGGAGCATAACTGAAGTGCCCCACTTTGCCAGAATATGTGATTACAGACATTTTTTAAGACCAGCAGAACACTACTTTCCCAGCAGAACTCTCTACAATACCTGGCTCACAGCTGGGTGTTAGTAGCAGACCATGGCGGCTCTGGGTTTTGTCTGCCCACTGTCATGTCTCTTCTTCTGTCTTCTGGTTCTTATGGGGCCTCCTCTTTCATTCCTTGTGGTCCTATGGGGTTGTCTTCAAGAGACCCCATGGCCCCACCTCAGACAGGGCCTGTGACTGCAAATGGCTGATTTAAATGCACCATTCCCCAGCACCAGCGCTGAGTTTAGAGACAGGCACATGACTCCGTGCCCTGGGGTCCATGGTTAGAGAATCCCTCTGAGAAGGAAGCCAAGCAGGACAGGCTGATGATGTCTTTGAAACCACTGTATCCAGATGTTCTTGAGCTCCACCACAGGACTTCCCAGTTAAGTCAAACAACATAGTATCTTTTTGGTTAGGTAAGTTTGAGTTGGATTTCTGTATCTTGCAGCCAAACAAGTCCCAATGAGTATAGTAATTTCATTTGAAAAGTTAAAATAATTGTAATAGTAACCAGTCTGTCTTGAACCCCTTCCTTTTCTCACATTTGGGCTTGTAATGTACGCTTACTTAAATGTTTACAATTTAAATGACACATCTCAGTGCGAGACACACTTAGCCTGGAAGCTCATGTCAAACAATTCTTTATTTTTTATGGTACAAATTAAAAGTGACAGATCTGAAGCTGTTAAGAAATACACAAAGTGCAGCTTTACTGACCATACAGATATTGCTCTAGATAAAGTACAGTTACTTTTTTTTTTTTAAACATTAAGCAACCTGTGCAGATAAATCAGCTTTGGTTTCAATGTCAGAGCAAGTAAGGAGCTTTGAAATATCCAGTTTGGCTTCTTGGTCACAAGTATATCATGTCAACTTCTTGTCATGATGATTTTTCCAAAACAACCCAGTCTGTTTTCCTGCCCCCCCCCCTCCTGCTGCCTGCTCCAAGCATGGAGAAAGCAGATCTCTTTGTGGTGCCTCATAAGTGACCCTGGTGACCAGTCTAGATCATAGCACATAGGACAAGAAAAAAAAAATCACTTTCTTAACAACAAATAAACAAATGTGCCTCACATAATTTCAAGTTGAAGACAAGCAAATCACATGACAAAAAGCTCATTACAAAATGTTATCCAAACAGATTTTACAGTCAAACATTGAAATGAAAATCAATTTCCTTTTTCTCCTTTTTTTTTTTTTTTTTAAGCTTGGTCATTAACTGGGTACAAGTAGAGTGCTGAGGTAAAACATTGATGAACAGTTTGTATTTCTTTTTTTTTTTTCTTAAAATAGGAACAGTTTAGTATTGCGAGATTGTCAGCAACATTTAGCCATATCTATACAATGTGCATATACCTACAAATATTGAGCTTTGGTCCAGCGAAGAGAAACGAGCAAAGGCATTTTACGATTTCTTTTTGGTTATAGCTTGAGTTCTTTGATACGCCTCTACTTGTTTTTTTTTTTTTTTTCTTTCCTAGCTCCTTTTGCTTTTTTGTTCTCTCTTTTGTGTTGTGTTGTGTTGTGTGTGTGTATGTGTGTATCTGTATGATTACAACATAAAGAAACCAAAACCTTGCAACGTAATTAAAACTTTTAACTGTTCAAAATATTTTTTTTGGTTGAAAAAGAAAGGAAAACTCACAAACAAAAGTAAAATATAACGTACATTGTCACGTTTTCCATCAAATAATGAAGATAATGAAGATGGCAATAATATAAAAATATGTGAGAAAAATTTTGAAGCTTGAAATACAATCGCATATGCCCAAAGTGGCTTTTATTTTTTTTGTCGGTGGCAACCTTAACCTTCAGTTGATGGAAACATAAAAGACACTTAAACGCTATTGGCATATGAAGTTGTTTACAAGTGGAAATAAGAAATGTCATCATAAAATTAAACAACAGGTGTGGTCCCAAAGACTTATGAGTTACACAGTATAATTTATATTCCTAAGAATCTGTTCAGGCACTATTTTATGCCTTGTAGCAAAAAATTTATCTGTAAAAAATTAATATAAGAAGCATTACAACACCTTATAAATAATTTATAAAACAATACAAAATTATAAAACTATAAAAAAAATCACTGCACATGAATGGTTTTACGACTGTGGGATGAATCTTTTTCTTTTTTGTTCCATTCTGGAAGATTACTTTTATTTTATATTTTCTCTGTCCTAGTTATACCCTCCCAATTATAGATCTCAGAACTGAGCAGGCCTTATGTAACTGCTGCCGGCATATATTTAAACATTTAGCATCCGTCATATGTTATCTTGTTAACTTCTTTTCTTGGGGAGCTTTTCTTGATGGAATTTGGAGCAGATCCTAGGAGAATACAAAATTTTGTTTTAATCAATGAAGTTTTGGGTTTCTGGGTTGTTGGTATTTGTGCAGTTTCTCAAGTGGTGAAACGGGTACCATGATGTCGTTGGAATTGAAGATCAGGTTAGCGGTGGTCCAATTAGCATCAGACTGGCAAAATGGAAACACCTTTACAAGTGACTAGTTCCACTTCCAGGATTTCTTTTAGAGTTTCCTTTGCTGGTAGTCTCCTGATTGCTGCATGAATCATCTGAAGGGACAATTATACTGTAGCATTTACACAACCAGCAAAGTAGCCAACAGAAGAAACTCAAACCCCCAGGGGACAGGGAGTGTGTTAGGGGAAGGAGATGGCATGTCTAATCAGTTGGGAAACTTGTGGTGGGGTTTCTCTTTTTTATTTCACAATTTACTTCTAGATAATACATGAGCATGATTATTAATTAATTATTCCTAAATATTTACATTCAGACAGTGAGCAAATTGACAGTTCTGTCTTGCCTGCCACTTTAACAGAATACTTTCTGCCTAGACTTGGGTGAAAACATGAGCAGCAGGTTCCAGTCGCTCAACTGCACAGCCATCCCCACAGCTCAGCACGTCCTTTTTGCTCAGTAGGTTATTGTGGCCCACAGATCTTTAGAGTAGGCTATTTTTTTTTAAAAAAGAAACAATCCTCTAGTTCTAATAGTAAAGGCTATTCTGATGCGTTGGAGAAGCCCCTCCTATATTTCTTTCTTTTATTCTAAATGTTATTTTTAAATTATCATTTCAGCATATTACAGGGGTACAAATGTTTAAGTTACATATGTTGCCCTTATTTTTTTCTTTTCATAAAGACACTTCCCTCTTAGGACTTCCTTTCCCCTCAAGAACCTGGCCCCTGATTCCAACTGCTTACATTTGCCTGCTACCTTTCTGCTCCGTTTACAGATCCCAAGCATAATTGCTCCCCCCTGAAAAAAGTCTGCCATCGCTATTGGAATGCAAGAAGTAGCAGAAAAGATGAGATTAACAGGATATATGATGGCCTTTAATGATATCTTTTTAGCCTGTTTCTTTGTGTGTGTGTGTGTGTGTGTGTATGGGCGTGCGCATGCCATGTGTGTATTTTGACTGAAATCTTGAGACATTTCTTTGGCTATCAGACTTCTGAGAGAAATTGCTTTGCACAGAAGCATAACATAGATGTAAGTATTGAACCAAATGTGCAGCTTATGTTTATATTACAAAATTAGTTTTGGTCAGCTCTCCATGTACGTGGCCAACAGACTGAGAAAAATCCCAAGCTCTGGTGTGGACAGTGAGCACAATTACAGCTTATGTCAGTGTTGACAGTTCATCGAGCAAAGCCCTAGTTATTCTGGAGTCTCTTCTGCATTTCACTAGGATCTGAGTGGAAAAAAACACTGTTCCTCCCTACTTCTGTGGCCTTCCAGCAGACCTGGGAGGCCACGTGCAAGGGAGACGGAGAAATGGAAGAAAAAAGAGAAATGCGAGCTCCATTTTCTTTTCTCAAACCCACAAGTCATAGTGAGAAGAAAGCAACGAATGCTTTGGCACACGATCCAGGATGCCCCCCCCACCCCACCAAAAAAAGGAAAGAAAAAGAAAAATGTCCACCCTCCCCCCAAAAAACCCAACAGTGAGCCTCACAGAATGGCTTCAACAATGGTACCCACCCCATGGGCGGAGACAACAGATGGGAAAGATGGGAGAAATCAGGCTTCCTATGTTTCCATTAGTACAAATGTAAAAATTCGTAACACAACTTTACGCGCAGAGAAGAGTAGACGAAAGATCACGTCTGCAATGCCATGTTTCTGACTTTGGTTAATAGGTTTCATAGTGAATCAGCACTTAGTACCTGAAAGGATGCAGTCCTTCCTCCAGGTGGCAGGCTTGTATTCGCTTTGAACAGCTAAAAGTTTTTGTTTGTTGTTGGTTTTTGGTTTAGTTTGTTTGTTTTTTTTTTCTTTTTCCTTAAAACGTGTTCATATTTTCATAATATACAGAAAAAAGTTCGTGGTTATTTGGTTTGCTTTAAGTCCATTAAAAAACTGGCTTTGGGGAGACAGGTTGGGGGACAGGAACTATGCTACCACACATACCTTCAGTGTGGTGGATTCCTTGTTTAAAAATTTTCAAAAAATTTTTCATTTTCCTTTTTGGAAAACCAACGGACGTGTAGAAACCATTCTGTCCACTTGGTAGTTTTCTTAGTCTTTTACTTACAACGGTGACAATGACTGGGGCTATTTTTCTAATTTAATTTAATTTCTTCTTCTTTGTCGTCTTCTTTCTTCTTTTTTTGGTGGCGTCCCAAGGGTGGAATTTAGTTTCTGTGGGTTTTGCTTCCAATTCTCTTTAGGAGTTTTCTTCCAGCGAGTCTGTTAAGGGCTCCAGAGGGACGGCCGTGGCCGGCTCGTGCTGTTTTAAGCGTTTAATTGTGTTCTTCAGGGCTTGCCTCTTATTGCAGAACCAAACTCTAACTACCTCCCGGTCATAGTTCAGCTTCTCAGCAATTTCGGTCATTTCCTGCCCAGAGGGGTGTGTGTTCTTCTCAAAGTGGGCATTGAGGATCTCAAGGGCCTGGGGTGTGAAGGAGGTGCGCCGCTTGCGCTTTTTGGACGGTTCGCTCCCGATAAACTCGGTCAGGTTCTGCATACCTGCGCGATGGCGGGCCTCAGCCTCGGCCATCCACCGCTCAAGCACCGGCTTGATCTTCTGGGCACTTTTAGGGGTGATGTCCAGCTTTTCAAACCTGGCAGGATACAAAAGGCCAGGGTTCAGTTTGGCTGTCAGACTGCTAGCTATAGTGTTCTCTTGGGCTTCCTGTGGTAGGAAAAAGTGGCTTCTCAGGATGGTGTGTCTGGGGGGAAAATTGAGAAAGAACAGTCTTACACTGAGTCCTCTGCCAGGGTGGGCCTCCTGCCTGCCTGCCTGACTGCCTGGCAGGGCGGATTCGCTGCAGGTTAGTGGCCGGCCGCAAGGTGGCCAGCCCCGCCCAAGCCAGCGCCACCCCCCACGTGCTCCATGCCAGCGCATGCAGACCACACGGCACACACACGGGCGGACAGGGGACGCGCGGGCTGCGACGCGGGCACGCAACGACTCGCCGGCCTTTCCCCTGCAAACGCTGAGCTCTGAGCTTCCATTTGAACGGTACCAGCCCCGTGTCCCCAGCCTTCAGAATCCCTAAGGCAAAAATTAACGCTAGAAAGTGACATCAAAGACGACAGTGGTCACGGTCTTTCGCTTGAAATGGTATGTTTTGCATTTGGTTTTCTTTAAGTCCCCCCCCCCCCTATTGACTTGGTTATGAGAATGTTGCAGCTATTATCATAGTCAGTGATGGCAACTGGGACGTTCCTTTCATGGCTCCCTTTTTATCCCTCTCTCTCTCTCATATGGTGAACAATTTTCACCATATGCAAGTTAACAACATGCCCCCCTTTCCAGGTGAAACACAGCCCCATTGCTGCTTTCTGGCTCAAACAGCTGGACACATTGTAATAACTATGGAACACCCCACCCCTGGGTGTGCTAAGGCCACCTCATGCCTTCCAAACACGGTCCAGCGTAATGGTGTACTTTTGCACCACGGCATCAAGCTGTGTTTAATGTGTGATATCTGCAAACTGTACTTGAACGATATCATTTTCTGTAAATGAGGTCTTCTATGTATCAATTGCCATCAGCAATTCTTTGCTACATTGACTTTAAAAAATATGAAGCCTCTTGGACAAAATTATATAGAGTGTTTTAAGAGGTCATCCTGGTACCAAACTCATACTCACTCTCAATGAAAAAGAAAAAAGTACCAATTACCTTTTGTTTGTTTGTTTGTTTATTCTATATCCAAATTCACAACCCTCCAGTATGGCAACTTTGGATACATAGAATTCCCCTCTCTCTTTTTACTACACTTGATCTTAGCCAAAAGGCCGAGAAGCGATTACCCCTCTCTCTTTTTAAAGTGCTCCGTGCTGTTGAAAAACAACCGTCTGAGCATCTTTATTACAATGGTCTGTTCTCACAGAGCCAGAATGAGCACGCGTGAGTCAGTCAGAATATGTTCAGTAAGGATGCTTGCAAAGGGATGGAATAGGCCTTCTTTGTGTGCCATATTCTTACTTTTGGCAGCACATTTTAGATCTCCTACAATGTGATAAGAAGCACAAATAATATTGGATCTTAATGCAATTTTTATCTATTAATTTTTGAAAAACCCAACTTCCAGTACTGGTTAAGAAGAGAAGTACATTTACTTTCAGTACAAAGCGAACTGATAATTTGATGTTATTTAATGAGCTGTCATTTGTGCCAAGCTCCCCCTCCCCCAAGCTCTCATTGTTGTGCTAATTTGCCACATACCACATTTTGCCATGATTCGCCATGAAAGCCCCAAAGCTTCAACTCTTTTTTTTTTTTTTTTTTTGAGACTGAGTCTCACTTTGTTGCCCAGGCTAGAGTGAGTGTCATGGCGTCAGCCTAGCTCACAGCAACCTCAAACTCCTGGCCTCTAGCAATCTTCCTGCCTGAGCCTCCCGAGTAGCTTGGGACTACAGGCATGCGCCACCATGCCCGGCTAATTTTTTCTATATATATTAGTTGGCCAATTAATTTCTTTCTATTTATAGTAGAGACGGGGTCTCACTCTTGCTCAGGCTGGTTTTGAACTCCTGACTTCGAGCAATCCGCCCGCCTCGGCCTCCCAGAGTACAGCTGCAACTCTTGATAGCATGGCAACAGTCTTTACGGAGCCATGGCACCAGGGCACAGAGCTTGTGATAGGGCTGTTGAGTGCACTGGGGGCATCTTTTCCTCTGTGACTCTGATAAGGAGGGACTCAAAGCAGTGCGTAGGGGTCACTGCAGCTAATAAGGGACAAGTGTCACCTGTGTGCAGGCTCTAATGCAGTCCTTCCTACCCTTAGAATTCACTTAAATTGTTCCAGTGTTCCAAATCTTGGTCTTTCTTTTTTTTTCCCCCTTGGTAGATAGCTCCTAAACCGATCTGCCTGAAACAATGGAAGCTGGAATCCCAACATGCAGCTGCCTGAAGTCAAGGCATCTTACATGTTCTATTATCCTGGGAATTCCCAAGGTCTGTGCATTTCAGCCACAGCCTTTTTGGCTCCCTCCTGGGGAAGACTTCAGAAATCAACATATTTGATTGGAAATGCCCAAGAGATGGCTAGGTGTATGAGTTAAAACATTAGCTAGCACTTACAGCAATAGAAGGAAATCACATTTTAGAACTAAAAATAAGTGAAAGAGGAATTTAGCACCAACAGAAAATTGGCAACAACTTAAAAACCTGTGGCTGCCTTTATCCCAAGGCTGTCAAGATGAAACGAAATTAATGTTTCCCAACAGGGAGCAAACGGTATTCATATCATCGATGCTGCTTGTTAGTGTTGATGCTTCTGTACATGTTGTTTGGAATAACATATACAAGCCTTGAAACAAATTTCCCAGCAGTAGTATCCTTGTATAGACTGAATAAAGGTTATTTTCTACAGGGAGGTATCTTATAAGAAAAAACAGTAGGGGAGGCCATAGAAGTGAGAGGATCCTATGGTGCTTTTTGTATTTAACAACAATCAATGGGTTTTATGGAAAATCATTGAGCAAAATGTGAGCTGCAAGCTACTACCCCATACTGATGTTATTTATAACCTTAGTCTTAAACTGCAGGAAAAGTACACTTCCGTCCTTTGGGGAATACATTAAAAGTATAAAGAGCAGATAAAAAGACAGCATTTCATGGATCACCAAGAACAAAATCCACTTAAATGAGTTTAGAGTTGGTTTCTTGGCTTTTCCTGATGGAGGAGGACTCATAAGGCATTGCCCAAGAGGAAAAAGCTCTTACCGAAGTGCCTTTGTTACCTCATGCATAAACATGGGATTAGTGCAACACACACATGCATGCATGGGGTCTGCGTCTGACGACTTAACCCGGATCAACTCGAACACAACCAAGGCTCGATTCTGTCACTTATTTATTTAATTTGGGGTGGTGGTGGAAGAAGTTAGGCCAGATTCTCACTACCCTTTTCTGAGCCATTTAAAGCAGCCACTTCTTTTTTTTTAAAGATGTGCTTTTAAAGCTGCATCTGGGAAGGCAAGTTAAAACCTTCAAGGTCAGAAGATGGTTAATTTTTTTTTTTTTTTAATGTGTGTTTTCTTGGAAAATCCTGATCGCCATCTCTGGGCAGAAATGGTGGAAATGTTAACACCAATTAGGACTGGCAGCTTTACAATATTTGCTCAGGATACCTATGCGTGCAGAGCAGTTGGTAGCTCTCAGCTGCATAGGAGTGTGGGCCCAGAAGGAAGGCCCCTGGCTCCAGGGTATTGTATTTCCAATGTGACTGCCTTGGAAGTTCTTTGTGAGTTGACAGGAGTTATCAAGCCAGGCCCCCAAATCTGCTTTAGCACCTCCATCTACTTCAAGATCACCAATCCCAATATATAGCTGCCCCGAACTTTGTTCCCACACTCTGCCCCTCCAGCTTTGCCCACCCAAAGAAGAAAGGCTGAGCCGCGAGGACAAACGAGGCCCAGGCCGGCCAGGAGAGGTGACAGCATGCGGGCGCGGGTTACCTGCAGATGGCCGACTGGCTGTACGCGGGCCCCTCTGTAGCACTGAGGGCTTGGCCCACCTGAGTCTGGGTCAGGCCAAGGGACAGGCGACGGATTTTAAAAGCTTTGGCAAATTCTCGGATCTCCTCCAGATTAACCCCATCCACCTCACCCGCTGCCATTTGAGGATCTGTGGAGATGTTTTTAAAAATAGGATCAATACGTCAACACACGGCCGAGCAGTATTTGTTTATTACGGTTTATAAGAAAGTGGCTCTCTTTAACAGCAGAGAGGTGGGGAACCATCACAGAATGTCCTTTTTGTCTCCCAGGTGAGGCACCCAAGTCTCCATCCTCAAATGATCACACCTCCACAAATCATCCTTCGAGATGTTTCTACCCCGGATAAAACCACAGCTTGCTGCCACTGCCACCTGCCCAATGCCAGAGCATGCTCCTCAAATAACAGCCAGCACGGGGAGGCACTTGTTTTGGGGGCGCAACTCCATTTTGCCCATAAACATGTTCCAATATTATGCAAAAATGTAAAAATGGAAAGGTTTCCATTTGAATTGTCTTCATTGGGAATCTTTAGCACTAGAAATTGCACTTGAAGACAATAATATTATATGTTTTTCCTTCGCCTGATACTGATGCAGCCAGGCTAACACACGGTAATGCTGCCTAATTTCTTACATCCACATTAGCCCCTCAGAAGAGCGTGCTTATGCGACTGCAAGAATAATACTGTCTTTCCCCTCCCCCCGCAGTAGTTTACTGACACAGACGCCTTTGTCCCCTGAAAGGGCACATAATAAAAAATGCCTACCACAGGAAGGCTCCTTTGGTGCTGGATAACGCGGTCAATTTAGGACTTATCAAGGGAAATGACACAACAGCTGGAGAATGAAACTCCCCCCTCCCCCAGGCTACTGATCCCTGGATAAATGAAAGCATGCACCAAGCTGGAGACAGCATGGGTTGGGGATGGTGGAAGATTTCAAAGTGCTGCTCAATCCTGCCTGTAGCGAAGCCATTCTCCCTGTGAGCTGCCGCTATTGTTCTTCGCCTCATTCCTCCCACTTAGGTGAAAAGTTTTTCTCTTCCTCTTTCTGCACAATAACCCATCAATTTCAGTAAATTCAAGTACTTGTCCAAGGACTGTGGTGGACTGCATGGCTCTTCTGGGCTCAGGGCTGTAGTAACTCCAGTTGTTATGAAACAAGAAATTCAACATTTGCATGCCAAGTGCCAATTTTTCATGAACTTTTAAATAAGGACGTTAATATCTGTGGGGAGTTTAGAGCTTCATGTATAGATTCTCTCATTATTGGGGAAAATCCAGCCCAAAGAAAACAGACTCTGCAAATAGAATCAGCGATATGGGTGTACGTTGTACCTTTATCTTCACATTAAAAAAAAAAGATCCTGTAGAATTTTTACCTGTCATTAGTCATAATTTTGTTGTAGAAAGGTTGAAAAGTGGTAAAACCACTGTGATCAGTCTGTGAGTGTTTTCTAAAGTGACTCCTGGGAGTCCTGAGTAGCGGGAAGGGGCAAGAGAAATACTAGAAACAGTCCCAGCGTCTGTGCAGTTTGCTGTCTGTAGGGCTTTGGGATCCAATACTAAAGCATAAGAAACAATGAGAGAAAAACAGCAGGCAGAGTATCATGAAGAGCTAATAGTGTGACCCCCACACCGGGTGTGCAGAGGAGGGAGAGAGGCCACGAGGGAGGACTCATCTGGGTCTTCTCCAATGGGCAGTGCATGGAGGGGCCAGATCTGGTCAGTGTGAAGAGTGTGCAGACGAGACAGATGCAGGGAGGAGCAGAGCACTGTGGGGGCCTGCAAGGTTGCTAGGGCGGAGCAGGGGCTCACGCTAGGAGTGATGAATATTTCAGGGTAGCACATTGAGAATCCATGTGCATAGCCAGGGTTGGGGCAGGTGACTATAAAACTGGTTTGGCTAAGATGAATTAAAATCTTACTTTTTCTCCCTAAACTACACCCTCCCCCTGTCCCCCAGGCTGGCAACACTTGGTTACTGAAAGACGTGTTTGGGTGGTCCATGGTGGAGGCAGCGCTTTGGATACTAAATCCTACCAGCATGGCTGCCTGGACTCGCTGGGGATTCTGGGAGGTCACATCTGGCACACTGCAGCCTTGAGCACCTTTCCTTCTTCTTGAAAAAAATCCTTCGAGCAGAGGTTGCAAATGAGCGGCTTGCAAATAAAACCCAGCTTTCCTAGTGCTTAAAAACTTTTAAAAAATGACTCGCCAACATGTAAACATCGATTTCTAAAGAAAAATCTAGGTTTTCCACGTTCTTCTGAAATGTTAGAAGATCTGGCCGCACTGGATGTCCATTTGCATCTGGTAACGCTCAGTCGGCTGGAACTGATTCTGGCTGTCCCCTGAGCCCCTCGGCATCCTCCTGCCAGCCCGCCTCGGACCTGCTGGCTGCTCAGCCTGTTCCGTGACCCTGCGTTTAGAGCCTGCATTCTTAATGGGGCTCATATTGGTTCTGGGGTGGGGGCGGGAGGAGAAGTAGGAAGAGTCTTAGATAGTACCATGTATGGCTCCTCAAAGGGCCACAGTGCATCAGCAGAACAGATACGCAGTATATCTGTGCTATCAAAATGTCATGGGTGGAAGGAGGACAATTAGGATAAAAATAAATCCAAAAAGGCTCCTTGCAAGGAGAGTGGGGTGTTAACATTAATAAAATAATAGTTGAGAAACGCTGGTTTGGAGCACAAAGGGCCACTTGGTATGGAATGGTATGGTGAGAGGGGGGTCTGGCCTCCCCCCAGGAAAGAGGGAAGAGGGGCTTGGCAGCCTTGCAAGGGTGGGCGTGGAGGCTCGAAACTGAAAAGAATGGAAGCTGGAGACTTTCCTTGTGACACTATGGCTTTTAGGACTGTGGCGGTGTGAATTTGGCAGGTATCGGAGTCACCTGCTGGGGCCCAGGGATGAATATTTTAAACAAGTGCCACAGGTGATCCTGATGCAGGAGATCAGCTGACCTCACACGACTCTTTCTCTATGGCCGGGCCTGGCCCAGTCTGGGTGTGGTGTCCTCTGTGTGCCAGCATCTTTCCTGACCCTTTACCATTATTACTCAGCACGTTCCAGAACACGGAAAACCTGCTGCCTCACCTCAACTATTATTTTATTAATGTTAACACCCCACTCTCCTTGCAAGGAGGCTTTTTGGATCAACTGGAATCAGTTGAATTATTCAGCACCTGAGGGGCAGGTCTTTAACTGGTAGGGTTTCATGGTCTGCTTCAGTCTCGGGGCCTGACTTAGCAGTGCGGTACTGGGCAGGTTTATGACTCTTCATGTAAATGCCTCCTGTCATCCTTCTTTTCTTCTCCTGCTGCCTCTATTGTTTATGTCTCCTCACTAGTTCTTTGATACTAGGAACGAAATATGCATTCGTGATTGTGCAGGTTGCTTTTTGGCAGATTCCTGACAATAACCGGAGTTGAAAAGGAGGCTGTGGACTCTTAGCTCCCAAGCTGTGAGTGGTGTTGGACAGATTTCAAACTTCCACTCTAAAGCTCAGAGAGATGGGCAGGAGCCCCAGCCACTGAGCCCATGGGGCCCTGGCAAACATTCATTACACCAGAAAGCCGGATTCCTTCTTCGCTTCTCACGTAGTTTCCACTCTCGTACTTTCTTCTGGTTCTGCTTAGAGAGGTGATAAGATAGGAATTCTTGTGAAATTTAAACAGGGTGGTGGTCTGCTGGACAAAGGCCAGGTTAGGGGAACTCAATATCTCTTCGTGCAATTTTTTGATCGCTGCAGGTGAGCTGCTCAGCCTTCTTTATATTAGTTCTTACCCATGAAACTCAGTTGGCAAAGTGCATTATTATGGTTTCGCGCCATGGTTTCCAAGATTATAGAAGTCTCCAAAGAAGGAGTCCATGCCTAGAGAAATATTACCTTTACCCTGATTACAACATGTGGGGCTTGTCTTCATACACTGGGAGAACTTGTTAGATGGTGTCTGTGAGATGTTTTGAACTCATCAGAAGACTAATGCTATTGTTATCCCAAAGTTTCTGTCTTAAACTCTTGAGGTTGTTTCGCCGTGGGAACAATTTCCCTTCCATATGGGCCATGTGCTTTTCAGCTTGAGGATGGAAAATAAGAGACGAATGTGGTAAAAGGAAGCTTTCCTGGAATGTTGTCTGAGCTCTCAACCTAGCTCAGTTTGACATTCTGCCCTGGGACAGGTCAGTCTGGCTTTCTGTCATCCATTCTCCTGGCTCTGGGGAGGTTGGGTTAGTTTTAAGCATGCATCTGAGGCCACCTTGTGGGAACCGCATGGGGAACACTCAGATTTCCCATAAGGTGGATCAAGCACCTTTAACCAGCTCGAGGACAACACCCAGTCTGGGGTTTCTTTGGACTGAGGAGGAAATAACATGTTTTATAGAAGTTTGCTCCAGATTAAGTCAGCCCAATATATTAAATACAGGGCCAGCAATGGCAATGACGGCCAGGGGTCCAGCCTGAGTCTGACCCTTGATCAACCTATAAAGAGAGTAACTGGCCCGTAGGATAAACTGGCATTGAAAATTGGTTTCATGGCAGTGACTCATAAGTATAATGATGGTGTTTCCCAAATCAAATCTGGATTGCATGGACTGAAAAGTAAAAAGATTTTTACGGGAGCCAAATGCAAAGTGTGTGAAAACCAATCTGCTTTGTAGAATCTGGTTGCATGGTCACTGGGCCCACACTGAATCGAGTGCTCAGGATGCATCAATCAGGACAGATGTTTTGCTTTTCCTTTCAGTTTTTTAAATTTAGCTCTTTCCTACAGTTAGCCTGGGTATCGGTAAGGGGCTGCTAAATGGGTTGAGCTGTCACCATGAGTCAACATCATCCTTCTGTGATCCCTGCTTGTGGGTTGTTATGGGGATAATATGCAGCTTCAAAGAAGCATGGATTAACTATCTTATGTAAACGTCTGTCTGGCTTTTTGGTGTTACTCTCACAACAAATAATGGGCATATTTACCAAATATTTGTGGGAAATAAGAAACCATTTGGGAATGTGCAATTTAATTTGGGAGAACGGCGTACTTGCAATGTGGTGACTTCGCTGGGCTGTGGGAAATGGTATGAACTGTGAGTCAGGGGTTTCACTGTGTCATGTGCTATCACCATGCATCTTTGTGTTCACTTAATGGTTTTGGTTTTTCTGGAACTAGCTATAAGCCCTTTGCTGTCTAAGGATCAAGCTAAGGGGTTTTAAAAAAAGTGGACTCAAAAAAAACCCAAAAAACCCAGCAAGCAAGCAAAACCCTCAAATTTACCTATTTCTAAATGGTACACTGTAAATCTTAAACCAAATTGAGACATTTGTCAAGAAAAGTATGATTTTTCTCCTAGATTTTCCAAAGACCCTACTTATAGAAACTATCTCTACCCCTGATAACTATGGAGACTGAGCAAGGTTTAACACAGGGCAAGGTGTGTAGGTACTATCAATAGGTACTATGCAGATGTTCTAACAAATGTGTGTATTCATTAATTCTGAGCCCAGATGTGCTGTTCTTTGCATATGAAGCTTCTGTTATCATTACTAGGACATTAACTTGGCATTCCTTTGCTTGGAGTGGGAAAGAGTTTTGTATGATCCAGCAACTTTAGTTCATCTGGAATATAGCTGGTTAGCCAACATTAGATTGAAAGTCTTTGATGATAACATGGACTCCTCATTGGCCCAGGTTTTGCCAAAGGTTCTGTGATATTCTGATATACCGAGAAACACATATTTGGTCTCTGTCCTGGGTTCCTGGCCCAGAGCTCCTAAAATCCTTATAATTTCCTGAGTGTGCTAGGAGCATCTTTTGTTTTAATATTTAGTCTTTGATCCCTGTTTCTGACAGAGCTCATAAATCCCTTGGAATGTCCTGGGTGATTGGAACATCTTTTCTTCTAATGAGGTGACTCTTAGTGGGCTCCTGGATACCTTCAGAATGGTGGCTGGCTATCAGAAAGACCCAGCCATGATTAGAACCTTGGAACTTTCAGCTCCACCTACATTCTCCAGAGAGGGAAGAAGAGCTGGAGATTGATTTAACAATCGATCATGCCAACATGATGAAGCCTCCATAAAAATCACTAAATTATGGAATTTAGAGAGATTCAGAGTTGGCAAATACATCCACTTGCCTAGAGGGTGGTGCACCCCAATTCCACAGGGACAGAAGTTCCTGTCCTCAAGATCTTTTGAGACCTTGCTCTGTATATGTCTTCATCTGGCTGTTCATCCGCATTCTTTATCATATCTTTTATAGTAAACCAGTAAACGTTAAGTGTTTCCCTGAGTTCCGTGAACCATCACAGCCAGTTATGGAATCAGAGGGATATGACCCATGTATTATTCATTCTGTTGTTGAGTGTTGAGACAGAAGGGAATTAACTAAACAACATGTGTAAAATCTGTAAGCAACTGTTAAGTCCAGGGATGGGATTTTGCAAAGTTTGACTTCTAGTGGCACTGCTAGAGCCTCTTATGCCTGCCAGAGAAGACTGTAAAGTTAGCTTGGGCTCCTCTTTCAGGCTTTGCATACGAATTGGGAGTGTGCTGCTTCAAGTGCATATGGAGTCTTTCTATTCCACAAGGATATGTAATATGGTTCACTCACCATAAACCTAGAACTTCAATGTCCCAATGGCCACGGTGCAATTGGAACTCCACCCAGCCCATTAAGTAACTCTGTTACTAATTTCTGAAAAAGGTTAATCCTTCCCTGTCCAGCTTGTGAGAAGTGACTAGAGTGAACCCAGTTCCACCCACCCATGTCTGCTGTCCATCCATTCCATTTATCCAACTCTATATCCATCTAACATGTATTAACTATTAATATTTTCCTTGTGTAAAACACTGTGTTAGTGGCTGGGGGTGTGTGTGGTTTGTACATTTGTTTCATATTTACCTTATTTTTTTGTTGATAAGATGCTTTACTTTGGTCCCTTTTCTTTCAGGACCAAAGCTTAACAGCCTATCCTAAATTTATGACCTTGCTGCCATTTAGAAACAGAACATTTTGCAGAAACTTATGCACAATATTGAATTGCAACAAAGTTAGAATCTTTTCCCACAACAACCCTAAAAGAGGTTTTTTTAATTGGGAAAAATTTGGCTATAATTACATTAATTTTATCTATTATTTTATTCAAGTAAGACTAGGGTTTCTGGCCCAAATGAAGAGGGTTGTATATCTAAACAACCTAAAATATGGTTGATGGAAACTGCGTATGTATGCTGAGTGTCTGTTTGGTTTTGACCCATCTTTAAGATCAAGAGCCTCAGGCTAGTCCACTGAAGTACCTGGGAATTCTAACATCTTTCCATTATACCTCTTTCCATTCTCTTCCCCACCCACAGGCATCTTTCTTGCCTGAATTATCCATATAATTAGAAAATATATATCTGCAAAATTATTTTTCTTTTCGGGGGCTGCTTGTGGGGGGAGAACATGGCAACCCTCCATTTTGATTTGTGTTACCAGATTTGTCCCATAATTTGAGAGGATCCTATTGTTCCTGTTATGGTTATATGGTTCACTCACCATAAACCTAGAACTTCGATGTCCCAATGGCCACTGTGCAATTGGAATTCCACCTAGCACATTCATTGTCAGATCACTCATGATGCTTGACCAAACGCAGAATCCCACGTGTTCATTTCATGGCACAGGTGCCTGTGCAGTGCTGTAGCCCTTGAAACCCACAGCTACTGGGTTTTTGGCCCCTAATGAATTGCAATCTATGCATGTGTTCTGTGATTTTATATATCAGTAAAAATTGCACTAATGGTGAATAACTGACATTAAATCGGACCATTGTCCTGTTGATCTTAACATGCTTCTATCTGCATGTGATAAATATTCTATTTTCACCTAGGGCCAAATACCATTTCTAAAAATTATATATATGTATATATATCTGTGTGTGTGTGTATCTCACCTGGTCAGAAAAGCAGACTTTCAGGCTTATTTTATTTTGTGAATGGTTGTTCAGAGACTTTTCATCGGATTCCTGCCCATGCAGCTTCCCCCACGTGCCACTGAAGGCGGCTCATTGTGCACACACACCCACCCGCCCACAGGCATGCTCTCTTTTATTTCCTCTGACACCTACAAATAGAACGGCAGGGGACTTCAAACACACAGAAAAGCAGCTTGACCCGCCGGCAGAGTGCCTGTTGTTGGTTATTTCAGTTCTGAGCTGTGTGGCTCAGGCCCTGCAAGCTGAGCAGTTCCGACCTTCTGAAGTGGCAGGACTGACTCAGCACATGGGGGGAGCCACTTAAGATGGAGCCCAGCCCCTGACATGCGGGAAAACATGCACTAATCCAGGGGATGTGCTCCGGGGGCCTGCTTCCCTAAGGAGCCATTTGGCTCTGGCCATGGACTTCATGGGGGGGAGAAAGGGAGAGAGAAAGAGAGAGAGAAAGAGAGAGAGAGAGAGAAAGAGAGAAGGAAAGCATTGCAAATAGGCAACAAGAAGGCCACCATGATTTAAACCGAGCCAGAAAGGATACTTACTGCTGACTAACTGGCCCACGCTCAAAGCTGAAGAAGAGGAGGATGAGGAGGAAGAAGAGGAAGCCTGCCGGACGGGACTTTGAGACATGGATGCTTGGCTGTGAGCAAGGTGCAGAAGGTTGCCTTGAGAGGCTGCTTGACCCACTGACGTCTGGGAGGGTTGGTGGAGCTACATGGGGGGGGATGTAAAAAAATACACAAATGAATGAAAATTAGGGGGGAAATGCCAGGGAACAGAAGTTTCATCTGGGGTTGAATCATTTTATTTCCAAGAATATATACTTCTCAGGAGCAGTGCATGCCCTACTCAACAGGCAGGATTTTTTTGTATATATTATGTTGCCGATTGCTTGACAGGCACTTTATTAGTAATTCTAAATATATTATTAATTCCCTACTTGGCTTGCTAGAGCACCCAATTTTCTACATTTCTCAACTGTGGTGTGTGGCTGGACTCCTTCTGCCTAGTCATTTAATTACAGTGCACTTGACAAGCTTCTCCAGTAAGTGTAGATAAAATACAGCACAATCAACTTGGAATGCGAAACTCAAACTTAAAGGTGTGGCCGTGCCTCACCATTTGATCTTATGTAACTGGTATTTAGGGGCAAGTTCCAGTTTAGGCTCAGTGTACATGGGAACTTCCTGCTCTTGCAGACTAAAGAGTCTGGATAGATTACCGTGGAGTTGACAAAATGCTCTCTGATGTCCCATAGAAAATTAAGAGAGAAGGTGAGGAGTTGGGACAAAAATACCCAGTAATATTTGTAGCTTTCAGTTCTTATTCTTACTCTGCGCCAGCCACTGTGTTAAGGACATTCATTTAATTCTCACATCAGCCTGTGGTGTGAGTACTACTGTGACCCCTCTTTTACAAACAAGGAAGCCGAGGCACAGAGAAGTTAAAGGGTTTTATAGGTCCATCCAGCTGGTGTGGAAGAGCTGGTCTCTGGACTTATGAAGTCTGACCCTGGGGCCCAAGCTGTTAGTCACAATGTCACAAGGAAGAATTAATTTAATTTTTAAAATTTTGTGTGCATCAGAGAAGATTGTCTTTACATTCATTTATTCATTATTCCTTTACAGGTTATTGAAGGACTGTTGCTGGTGAGAGGAGCTCAGCTGAGGAGAGGAAGGAGAGAGGAAAGGAAAATGATTGCAGGTTCTAGGTCCACTTTGAGGCCTGGGAGGGATCTCTCTCCATCCACCGTGTGCTGCAGGTGGACAATTAGTCTCAGTATTAACCATCTTTATCAATTGGATATACCACTTTTTGGTTTACACAGTGCTTTTCTATCCATCAGCACACTCACAGAGGTGTAGCACGGTTTCTGTAAAAGGCAGTCAGCCTGGGAATAGCATTAGATCAGGCCTTGAACTTTGGTGCCCTAAACGGGCACCAACCTGAGAAGGCCTACCACCTTCCCAGCATCTAAGAGCCAGCCTGGGGTGTTTCAGTTTCACATTTGTCACTGCTTTCCCAGTGTGTGTGTGTTCAAATTTTCATTCAACTTTATTAAGATATAATTTACACATAATAAAACACACCCATTTTAAACACAAAGTTTGCCGTGTTTTGTTAACTATGTACAGTCGTGAAAACACCACCACCACAGTGAAGATATAGAAGCTTCTCATCATTCCACAACATTCTGTCCCACCTTTTGCAATCAATTTTCTTCTAACTCCCTGCCCCAGACAGCCACTGCTCTGCTTTCTGTCGCTATGGATTCATTAGTGAGATTCCAGAAATGGAATCATATAGGATGAACTCTTTTTGTATCTGGCTTCTTTTGCTTGGCGTGTTATTTTCAAAATTCATTGATACTATTGCATGCATCAGTAGCTCATTCCTTTTTATTGCTGAATAGTGTTTGTGTATACATACACAAATGATATATTGTTTATCCATTCATCTGTTCATAGACATTTGGGTTGTTCCCAGTTTGGGGCTATTATGGGGCTATGATGAATAAAGTTGTCATACACAAGACATACACAAGTAGACATAAGTCTACTATACACAAGTAGACATACAAGTTTGTGTGTCTACTTGTGTTTTTGTTTCTCTTATGCAAATACCTAGGAATGGAATTAGTGGATCGTACTATAAATGTGTGTTTCACTTTTTGAGAAACTCTCAAACTATTTTCCAAAGTGGTTGTACCACTTTATATTCCCACCGGCAGTGTATGAGAATTCCAGTTGCTCCACATCCTCGCCAACACTTGGGATTGTCAATCTTTTTAATTCCCTAAAATGTTTTTAGCCATAAAGTTAACATTTTATCTTCAAACAATTGCTGGTAAGGGGCTAATTTGGAAATGTGCTTAAGGAACTATTTCCCCTCCTGGTCCCTTGTGGTATTAACATTAATAGTAGGTCCCCTTATCCACATGCTATTTTCCTATGCAGCAGACACGCCTGGTATGATTATGAAAAGTAAATGGCCCAAGGCCATCTGGCTGCTGAACATTAGAATCCAGGCTCCCATCTCATAGTTCAGGGCTCTTCCCAGGATTCTATCTATCCCTCCTACAGAATTGCCTGCAGTTACATTTCCAGTGCACACCAGTAGTGTTACTCATCTATGCTAAGTGGAGGCTAGATTATGAACCAAGGATAGTTATAATCTATACAGAAACCCCAATTAATATGCATCAAGCATCTGCCAAAGGTAATTAGCTAAGCTGACGAGCATATAATCAACAATTGAATCCAGTAAATTTTATACTTTGGGACACATATCAAAGATTAAATCTATTTTTAATTTGCTTAATAAAATGTGATGGATGTTTGCATGCCAATTTACCCCCTCTAACCTATTGAGTTGTCCTTCTCAAAACCGATACTTGGCAAAAGCTTTTTACAGTTTTCAGTTACTGAATCATAAGATAGTCTTTGATTTTACCATTCTATCAATATTTTATTGGCCCTGGGTGTGGTAAAGACCCATCAAGTAACTGAGTAAGACAATAATCAATTTAAATATTTCTTCCTCAGACACAACTCAGTTAAGAAAAAATAACTGGGCTGCACTCTCACTTAGGAGTCACAAAAGCAAGCTAGGGCTTATGCGTTAAGCTCTGCAAGAGAAGAAATTTGAGAGGACAATAAAATAGTGCTTTTAAGAACTTGTTCCATGTCTACACAGTCAAAAGGAATCTAAGATTTCTTAGAGGAAAAGATATTTTTCTTTCAAAGTAAATAATATATATTTTTTAGAACATTGGAGTTCTGTTTACCTTCAGAGTTTAACCAGACAGTTCAGAAAAACCAATAAAAATTTTTAAAAGTTTTAACTTGTCAAGAATCAAGGGAATTATATAAGCAGTAGCATCCTAATGGAGCCGATATATCTCATTCCAATTGCCTGTGTACAAAGGTGTCTGTTAATTCTAGAATCTCTTGCAAGCCCAGGTAGGATAGCCTACTGTACATATCAAAATCAGCTCAGAAATGAACTTCTCCTTCATAACTTCTTTCTTCCAAAAAGGAGGACTTTAGAGGTGTCACGTCTGTTTCCTTCATTCCCTAAAACTGCAGTTTTTTCAGGCAAACTATGAAATATAGCACTACGTAATTGATGTTCTTAGTTTCATGATTTTGGTATATTAATCTTTAGAAATTTTATAGTTAAAATATATTTATCAAATACAAAAAGACAAAGCAGAGATTTAAGCTACTTCATAAAACAATTCTGAGGTCCAATATAAAAATTTAATATACTTTAAATAAGCAGCATTAGGAAAATACTATTTGATTTAAGTATGTTGTTTTTCAGACACTTAATTGCAAAGCTCATATAGGTTTGTGTTGCAAAAATCATGTAGGTTTGTATTGCGTACCTATTGGCAAAAGAAATAGATGTATAAATCCTAAAACATAACTGTCCACAAAATTTGGAATAGTTTACTAAAAGAAAATGCAGAGAGTCAGGGAATAACTAGAAGTGTGAAGGAAAAACTTCTTACTTTTCCTTCCTGGAAAGAAGCGTCTATAAAGGCAGATGTTTTATTACATTGTCTTAATCTTGAAAGGCCAAATATGTGGATTCCACCTATTGGATGTTTCCTACATCATCCTGGCAATAGCTCTCTTGGTTAGGTTTTGGTGATACTGTTATAGAAGAGGAAGCAGACTTAAAAACGGAGAATAAATGGGAATGCCAGTACACATAAGTAAGTTTGAATCATATATGAACAGCAGCGCACGTTATGTGCTGCGCTGTTCAACCCTTGAGTTGGAATGCCTACAAGTCCAGGGAACAGCAAAGGGGGCTTGTCGAAGTGGGGAACGAATGAGATATGTTCAACTGAAGGTCAGGTGAGCTAACTTTCTAGTTATCAGCCTATGAACAACACAAGTCTATCATTTCTGAACCATCCATCGTTGGTGGTTTTGTTCCCTACATAAATGTTAATATTTGCTTTGACATTTATTCTCTGAGCTCCCAAAGTATTAAGTTCAATGACTTTAAGAAACTATGGAACTCTCAGGTGGCTAGAGGATTACCCAAAAATGTTATTATGATTTTTTTTTTTTGAGACAAGTCTTCACTCCCTGTGGCCTGGGCTAGAGTGCGTGCCCATCAACTGCTTCACACAACCTCAACCTGGGCTCTAGTGATCTCTGCCTCAAGCCGCCCCAGTACCTAAGTACTGGGACTACCAGCAACGCCACCTGTGCCCCGGCTAATTTTTCTATTTCGTTGTTTGGCTTAACTCTTCATTATAGTAGAGCAGGTCCCTCACTCTTGTTCAGGTGTTTGAACTCCTGATTGAGCGATCCCCCGCCTCGGCCTGTCCCCAAAGTGCTAGGATAAGGCCAATAAGCCACCATGCCCGCAATGATTTAGTGAAAAGTGCTGGAAACATCCACATGGAGTTGCCATACAGAGTTGTCTTGCTATTAATAATTTCCGACTATCTGTAGTACCCCAAACTATCTTCCTTAGTATTATACCTGTTAGGTAGATCATATTAAATGATCATTATTCAATTGACAGCACACTGCTACTAGACTGTCTAAAGGAGCTCGAGTTTATCTCCCTCCAAGTTCACACCCCGTCACCGTTTTTGTCCCTCTTTTGATGTGCCCAGGTCATGGGCTGAGAGATGAGGTCGCAAGAAAAGAAGAGAGAAGGAAGTGTGTCCAGCTGGGATGCGTCACAGGGGAGGAGGAACATGTCACAACACTGGAAAGGGATGACAAACCGGGGAAGACGGGATGCAGGGTCTGAAAAGCTTTACGCTTCCCCGCTGCTTTCACCCAGCTGGCTTTGCTGGTTTTTGGTGTTGCTGGCGCTGCCCCGAGGTGTTAATACATTCACCAGAAATAGACTGGAATAGCACGTCAAGTAGAGCTGTTCTGTGATTTCTGGCTCTGCTCCCACGTCTCTCCCATGTGTAATGCACTATATCCTTAATAATGCTCTAGTTTCTGGAATAAAGCATCTTCCAATTAAATCCCCGATTGATAGAAAAATAAATGGGGGTAGCAAATGTCTTGGAAAATGGAATAAAATGCAGAATGCACTAGACATATTGGAAAAGTGAATGCCTATAAACAGTAAAATTCAAATAGGATTAAATACAGAGAAATTCGTTTGGGGAAGAAAACCTACTCCAAATCTGCAAAGGCAAAATGGAGGAGGTCTGGCCCTTTACAGATGTGCCAGGGGGCCATGGCGAACCGCAGGTACACCCCCGTGTGGTGTGGGGGGGCAGTGAACACAACCCGGGGGGGGTCCTTTGGGAGCCAGAACATGTGGGAGGAGCATGGTGACTCTTCCTCCCTCCCTGCGCTGGCTGGCACTTTTCTGAGAACTGTGTGTCTTAGGAATAATAGACGAAAGAGAAGTTAAATCAGTGGTTCTCAAGATTTCTGCTTCATCAGAATTACCTAGAGGGCTGTAAAAACCCAGGGTTCAAGAATTTGTTCAAGAACAAGTTCTGAGGTGATGCCGCTACTGTGGTTAGGAGACCACACAGGTTTTGGAAGGAGCTTCTCTTGGAAAAGGGGAAAGAAAGCGCATTTATTACGTCTAGGCAAGAGAAGCTAGAGCCCAGAGAGAATAAGAGCCCGAGTCTTAGCGAGGCGTTTTGTGTGCTGCGGACACGACAAGAGTGCAAGTATTAAATTTGCTGGAAGATTTAGGGTTGACATCAGGATAATCTACCTTGAAAAATTTTGAGGATCTGGAACATGACACAGGGGAGATTTTAGCTGTCTTTGTGGAAAGTTCAAAAAGCGAGGAGGAAGTTATCCTTTTGGCGGGGTTTGGGAGACGTACTGGGTTTTCCTTCCAGCTGTAGTGCCTGACTTTGAAACATCTCTTTAACCTGAGTAGGAAGAAGA